TAGTTATTGAAAAAAAATCAAATCAATCGTATACAATTTATAACTTTGAGAATGACAATATCATACTAAATGACAATATATTGAGCCAATCTAAATCTTTATTGTGAAATAATATTATTAAATTTGTAGGAAAAGGTAATAATATTTTTTACCAACATTATAAACTTGTACAATATCAAATATTTTTTAGATAATATTCCTATTGTATGTTATTACAATAACTTTACTGTTATAATTAACAAAATACATTAATATCACTTTGTACATTTCGAAATGTGTTAGTAGATATTCACAAACAGTGAAATCTCAATCTATGCTTTAACGTTCACCGATTATTTTGGTGTACACCAATACTCACTGCCCTGGTGACCGTGAGCATTCACCAATTATAAAAATTTACATTAATATTAATATAATATTTATTTTTATAATAAATTAATATAATTATTGGTGTGATAAAAATTTTTAAAAAATACTCAATTGTTATTTACTCAACTATAAATGATTCTAATGGAAGTTATTATTAGAATATGTATAATACCTAATAAGTAAATTTACTGTAAGAAAGTGAAGTATCTGAACTAAATAAATTACTACAATATTGCTTCCTGAACTAGTAAGTTATAATAATTGTATATTGCATATTTGGGTTTCATATAATAAATCTGATAAAAAATAAAAAATACACTACCTATTTTTTAGAAAACAATATTTGTAGAACAATATTATAATAATATTGAATGAACACTACCAATTATTTACACTGGGCATATAGCTTATTATTTTCACAAGAATTATCACATAAAAATTTTAGCAACATGGTGTGATTTGATCCATAAGAAAGTATTGTGTATTTTATTAATAACAATCCAGATAAAATAAAACTAAATATGTTATAAAATTTAAAAAGGAAATAACTGTTAGTATTTTTTATGAATAACTAACTTTAATTCCTTATATTGCTGAGTTAAATTAAATTTATATTTATCTTGTTTTACGTTTTGCTTTAGTCAAAATATATAATATAAGCACAATTACAATGATTAATTTTACAATTTTCCATTACTTAATTCTGGACTTATTTTTATATTTTTAATGTAAATAAAATAAATTGGGTATACATTCAACAAATGTTTAAAAACTGACTAAATCGGTTTTAAAATAAATTTTGTTAAGATTAATATTTGCCTTTATATGTTTACATTAAAAATATATTAATAATAAAGAAAGTACATTATTGAAATAATTGTATTTAATTTTAAGGTTTGTCTCGTACATACATTTATATGTTTATATTAAACATATTAATAAAAATGTTTATTCGTTAAATGTCTACTAATTATAATTTGTATGTAATCATATTAATCAATGGCAACCATTTCAATAACCAAAAATGTTCACTAGACAAATTTTAATTCATATGTATAGCTATAATCTATTGACATTAAAAAAATAAGTTGTAAGTACCTTCAAGTTCTCAAAAAATCTATGTTTGATTAATTTTTATTTAAAAACATCTACAAGTTTTTAAGTATTTAGTAGACAAACAAAAAAAGAAATATACATTTATATACACTTAAATATAAAATATAATATAAATAATAAGAAAAATGTATTTGTAGCAAGTTAAGATATAAAAGTATACTGTCTTGTGTTTGATTTTAATATTTATAAAATTTTTTTTACTGAATTGACAAACATTTTTTTTTTTTTTTTTGTTAATGATCATTGAATTTAGTAAATTATACCACAAATAGTTTCTAAAATAGGTGCCTATACTTTAATAAACAAATATAATAAGCAGATATATTTCAATATTTGTATTATTATTATTAATTTATGTTATTTCAAGTTACATATGATGTACAAGGTCATCCATATGTTTTATACATACCTCAAAAATGCTAAATGTATTATTCATGACATATTCGCGATTTAAATGAAAAAAACAAATTATATGGCTTTATATCTGCAAAGGTACTATTATTACAATGAGGTATAATATAATATTTGAAATATTATTTTTTATGTGGGTTAGTAAGAATAATATAATATGAGTTCATTAATAAATGTATATTAATATTAAAGAAATATGTATACATAAACATATATAATATATATATATTTATGGAGTAAATCTAATTACAATTTATACAATTTAAAAATATACTATGACTTAATATTTTATGCTCGCATATCGTTTTATTTATTTATTTTTCATACTTTGACAAATAACTTAAAAATATTCCTGAGATTAACCCCAGTTCATAGTAATTAAGTAAATTTTTACGTTATATAGCTACATAGATTTAAAATTAAGCTATAAAAAAAAGGTCATGTATTTAAAAAGTCTATTTAACCTCAAACCAATTGAAGTTAAATGGATAAATACCAGAATCGAATATAAATGGTAGTGGCAAGGTGACTTTTGCATATTTAAATATTTACTATAAAAAATAATATTAATTTTTATTACAGTATTCATTTCTAATAACCACGAATAACCAGTTATTATAAGAGATAAAAATAAAATATTTTTCAAGCTTATCAAAAATATAAATGTTCTGAATAAATTTACATTTTTCATAAATATCGTAAAAATAAAAATTATTATTATAGTTCAGTATCATTTGACAATTGATGAAAAATTATGATAGTAAATTTATATAATCATAACTTTAAAATATAATAATTATCAGAGCAGAATCTTCAAACAAGGTTTTAAGATTATTATTTTTATGAATAGTAAATAGTAATATATTAATAATTGAGAGATTAAGTACAGCTTTTTATCTTATTTACTGGTAAAATAAGCAAAAACATTTTAAGCATTTATTTATGCAAGTAAATTTAATATTTTTATATATTTTAGACTGTAAAAATTGTGAATTAAAAATAAAAATCAATATCATTTATAATTTTACAAACGGTTCATAAAAAAAAAAAAAATATATAATATATATAGAGATGAATTTTATAATATATTATTACATTATATCCTTTAAGAATTTTTTTTCAATTTTAATATACATAATACCAAAATTTAACATTTTTTAAAAACTTGAAAGAATAAGTTGATTTTGTTTTTACATCGAACACGAATCTAATAACAAAATTAAAAATTCTCATATGATAAACTTCTGTTATACCTAATGATTTAAGTAAAATAAGGATTATATTTATTTAAATTAAAACATTTCAAATAAAGTTACGTGTAAAATATTTTAAAATATCATTATTAATATTTATATATATTTTTGAGTTCAGTACCTACATATTTTTTTCTTACCTTTTTATATTATGCTAACGTATTTTTCTAAAGATAGTTAAATGGAAATTTATCTAGAGTCCCTGGTGTCTCTGAACCTCATAGTTTTTTTTTCAATGAAATAAATACAAATATTCAAATTTATTTTGTTATAATATATTCACTGACTCATTCAATCATCGCACCATTATTTAATTTAGTTTTAATTATATCATAGAAGTGTCATATACACATGTACAAATATAAATAAAATAGACTAACGAATCTTTACACTGCATTGAACACCTAATCCTATAAGCAAAATAATTTCATTGAAAAAATACATTTTCCAATCAATTTCAAAGTCAATTTTAATGGACCTTTCTTTGACATTAAATAGTTGATCCAGTCTAATAATTAACCACCAAGGATTATGTGAAATCTAGTGTAATGAACTAATGAACTGTGTTGGCTATAGTTGTGTTTTTAATTTATTTTTTTTTTTCATTTATACTTTATAGTAATCTCAATTATAAAGGGAAAAGCATATTATTAGTATTAATAAATTTTCACTAAAATAATAGACTTAATTGATATTTTATCAATATAATTAGGGGCAAAAATTTAAGTTTACATTTCATGATTACTAATTGTAATAGTTATAGTATTTTTATTTTGGAAAATTATCATTTAACTGTCAAATTAAATTTTGAATTTGCTATAATATTCTTTTTTCTAGATAAAATTATATAATTATTGCAATATAAAGGGGTTATAATACTCTCTCGACTGTCAAAAGAATAATAATAACAAAATATTTTTATTGATAAAATTGACAGAACTATAGTTAAAAAATTTGACTAATAAATTAAATTCAGGAGTAAATTATCTAAAAAATTTAATACTTATTGTTGTATATTTTCGGAACATTAAGTTTTAGAAATTTTAGGTTTCCTTTTACGTTATAGATTAGTTTTTTTCTAAGTTTTGAAACATCAATATTGTTTGTTAACACTTTCATATTACCCAAAATATTTAATCTACTAGGCTTTCATTGATAATATAGATGGTGTAAGTTAAGATATATAGTTAAATAATGTTGGCTTTATAAAATGTTTAATTTCATAGTAATTTTTTTGGTAGAGTTAAGTCTAGCATATTATTGCTCAGTACAAAAAAAAAAAATATAAAATATCTTAACAGGTTTACTGTTCTATTTGAATAATGTAAATATTTTTAATTCTGTTGAATAAAATAAAAATAATTCTGTATAGTAATGTTTTAATATTTTTACAACGATATTGATTACCAAAGATATATATATATATATATATATATATATATATATCTTCTTTAAATAATAATAATAAAATTAATTTAACAGAAACAATTTTGTTATGTTGTTCAATAGTAGAATGAAAAAAAATAATAATACAAAATGTTTTAATATTATAAAGTAATAAAAAAAAAAAATAAAAAAAATAAAAAAATACAACACAAAAAAGAGCTAAAAAAATATTTATATTTAGGTACTCTATAGTATACAAATTCCTCAATATCACTTGGAGTTCTTTTTTTGGGTCTTTTAGAACTCATTACAATACTTTCACGAAATTTTTCACAATTTATAGAATTAACTATTATTTTATATTGCTATAACTGTATACTATAATGATTGTACAATACATAGATCTGTCATGTAACTTAATTATTGTACGTTTAAAAAAATATACACATATTATTTATAGCTTACCGTGACTGTATTGATTGTTCTTATTGATCACACCTTGCGCTTTGTGTCGAGCTATGTAAAACCATTCGCTGGTGTTCGATAAATAGTTATACTCAACAGCCAAATCTTTAGCCAATATTCCATCGCCGTCTGGGAGTCTGTATGCGTATGGACAAAACAGCCAATATTTTTTGTACTGCTGTTGGTCATAGCAGTTCCCGGCAGCAAATATATCGTTATCAAACTCTACCATAGATATAACTCCGGCGTGAAGTAAATACTCAGAATCTGTTACTTCGGGATCACCGTACTTCCAAATTCTCGTCAACATGTTTGCTCGATTCACGGCCACATTAGCCATTACCCTGAACCGTTCCTAATAATAAAAAAAAATTACTAATAGATAATCATTATTTTATTTATAATTTATTTTTTTAAGTAATCTAACGTAGTACATAATTTGGCCAAACTTTTAATTATGAATTATTAATAACCTAAAATGCATAACAACGCTGCTTATAAGGGGGGAGGGCTCCATCCATGTATATTTAAAACATAATTAATATAATCAATAATAAAAGGCATATTATGGCATAAATGCGGTCCATATTATATACATGTAGACTAAAATAATAACGCTTTTTGCCCTTTCTTCCAGAAAAAAGATGTTGGCTTATTTTATATTATATAGTAAAATATATAATAAAATTAAACTTAAATTTATATCTAAAACTAAATCCATCTTAGATAACCATTATGTCACTTAAGCAATATAAGGACATGCTATAACAAGATATATAATAATCTGAGAATCATATAAGCTGAAACTAATATATAATAAGCACTGTCTTAGGGTGTTGTTGTATAAGTAATTATAAGTAATTAGAATAACCAATAACTACTGAGGAATTACGTATACTACTTTCAATAATTTAAAAATGGTAATAACAAGAAAAATAATTTAACTAGGAAAAAGTTAAAACAAATTCAATTATTATTTCAATAATGACTTATTACAAACATATTATGTTAATGATTAAATGCTCATTTTTAAATTAAAAAATAAACGATTTTGTCAAAAACTGTTGCTAGTCAGTAGTATTCTAGTTTAGTGTATTATTTTTTCGTATTTATCGTTTATTTTAAAAAGTAGCAATTGAATTTCAGTATTGATTCCCAAAATATTTTTAAGCTAGGTTTTTTTGAACATGGAATGCGTTCTATCTAATATTATTTAAATTTTAAATAAATAGGAATTGCTTAATAATTAATTCTTATTAATGTATCGATTCTATAACGATGTGTATTTGTTATGACTGTCGTTACGTTTTTGAACAGTATAAATTATTAATTTTAAACTACAATATTTAATTTTCTGTTAGGAAAGTGAATTTTTTTGGTACATTTAATTTGTTAAATGTACGTCATTTGTAAATTAAAAGTAAATAATTCTCAGTAAATGTCTTAATAATTTTTTTTTATATAAAACCAGTTTTTGAAAATGTTGATTTTTATTTTATAATAATAATAATAAAAAATATATATATATATTGTACAATACCACAAAATTCTTATTAAATGTTTAAATTATTAATTTTTAATATGGTTTAATTTTTAAATTTTTTTGACTCTAGTTATACATAAAAATTTTATATTTTCAATTTTTTTCTTTATCTAGTTATAAACGGGTCAAAAAGTCTATTAATTGAATATTAAATTCATCATAAGTTATTAAATATGTTAAAAATATTAATTATTAATATATAACTGATTATTTTTTATTATAATCATTTTAAGTTCAATATTTAACAAAATACACCAAAATTATGTTTGTTTTAGTTATTTTATGATTTAAAATGCATAAACTATACTGTTCATTTTTTATATTTAAGCCTTAAAAATGAATTCAAGATTCCTCACAAGTAATTTATACTACTAAAAATTTAAAATTTGAAAATATGCAAATGAAATATTTTTATAGTTATTTCTAGTTCAAATGTGGACAAAGAATAACAATTTTATTTAATTTGTTAAAATTCAAAAATATTATAAAAATAAAATAGACATCTAAAATGTTACTTATAGAGTGAATCCTACAGGTTTTACTTACTTTCCTCTTTTTTTAAATAATGAATACTTATTATTTTTATTATACGCTATCCTAAAAAATTTTTTTTTTAAGTTTTTTTCATTAATTAAATCAATTAAGCTAAATAAATATATTAAATTTAATAGTTAAATAATTAAAACCTAATGTTTACATTATACATTTTACTATTGACATTTAAAGTGTAATTATACTCGCAATATTTATATTTTCATTTTATATAATAGTGATTATTTAAATGTGACTTGGAACTTTTAATATATGGCTAACATATTGTGGTTAAAACATCATACAAATGGCAACTATTGAGAATTCAATGCTACTACTGAATGTTTCATAAATAATTATTATTCCCAATAAACTTATTAAACGAGTATAACAAGTCATAATCACTTACTTATGCTGAGAATCACAATTTTATTGGATTTCAATGCATACAATAATATGATTATAAAAAAAATAAATATAACCCAAACTAATGTGAAAAATGTTATTCATAGTATATATTATTTTTTACACGCGTATTAATAATATTTTACTATTGGCAAAGTAATTTTATATAACATCTTCATTGAAAAAATTATAAATAAGTAAAATGAGTAAAACAAAGTTATCACACTTTTATGATTTGCGTCTGAAACCTGTTAATTATTACCACAAATAAAATTAAAATAGTTAATATTATGCATTATAGTATATTTAATTTATTCAATTCTTGTTTTTTTTCTTTTTATGATATTATTATTTATAAACATTAAAAATAGTCTAACTAGACGTTGAGTAGTATAATATGTTAGGTATCCATAACGTGCTTTACTTGAGCAACTGTGTAGTTTGGCTTTGATTTGTTGTATGTGTTTATTAATAATTGTAACTATTGTGTAAGATTATAAAATTTACTTTTAATTAAATAACTTAAAAAAGTATTACTGTTGTTAAAAAAACAAAATATATTTATAATAATAACTAACAATATATTGTCAAGATTATTGAGGGTGGTAGTTGATAAACTATCTTTAATAAAAGTTATATTTAAAAACCTTGGACGAGTTTCAGTTATATCACTGACTCAGGCGTCATCGTCAGCCATAACGAGCTGAAATATTGAATCGTTTTGAACACTGTTTCGGTGTATTGCGTGGAGAGAGGATAACAACCACAACTGATCGCAGTGGGATGCGTTACATTACCACCATGGTAGCACGCAACGAAAGTAAAAACAAATGAATGTTGGCGAAGTAATTGCTAAACGTATTTTTAGAGTACAAGAAATAAACTGACCTGTAAATGCACGTAGTACATATAGTTTACCGAGATGTGAACTAACGGCAATACCATGCGAAACTATTCAATTTAACGATTGCGGAAATTCGTGAGTGCAGTGTGCATGTGGCAAATATCCGAATTCTAATGGCCACTTTTTGGACAAAAAATCTTTGAAAGTGTGACATTGCCATTTATTCCATCATGAAATTCAGCAGCTAGCGATGAATTGTTATCTTTTACATTGAGCTGCTAATGAGTACATTATTTTTTATTTTTTTAAGTGCATTTACTGTCACATTATTATTTATCTGAATAAAATAAAAAAATTCCGTTGAATAGCCCGGCAAAGCTTTTGATAATTCATGATCGTGTTTTTTAATCTCTAACCAGTACTATTGTTAATCATCTTCTGTGAGGCCTATCATCTTCTTAAAAAATTAATAAAAAATACCATTGGTAAATTTTTTGAAAATTTATTGGAGTTGGACTAAATTTAAAATAATATTACAATAACAAACAATTAGTAAAATGCTTATTTTTTAAAGTTACTTATAAATTTATTCTTGTCAAACTATGCATAGTATTTACAATTTAATATATAATATGTATATATTTTTAAGGACATTCACTGACTCAATTTTGTAATAAAGACTAAATACAGTCAATTAATTATTTTTTTCAATAAATAAAATTATGCATTTTCTCCATGCTTATTTAACTGTTAAATTAAATTATATAAATATAATTACGTATCTCATACAAAAATACAAATTATTTAAATATTTATTAAATAAAATGTTTATTTTTTTGTTAATGTTAAACTTACCTTCAAAATAACAATTAAATATATGATATTATACGGAATTAACTTTAAGATGTATATAAATTGTAAAAAAAAAAAAATAGATTGTACAAAAGTTAATTTCAGATTTTTTTAATGTTTCTTTCTTATCTTTTTTATTTTAATGAAAAAAAAGTATTTTAAGTTTTAGTCACACGTTAAATTAATTAAAATTATTCTAAAATTAAAAGAGTTATATTCTTACAAAAATTAAAACAAATTACTAAAATACATTCATTCGTTAACTTTTGTTATAATATAAAATAAGTTTCTTGTGTTTTTGTTAAAGTATTTGTATAAATAAATTTTCAAAATATTTTATTTTTATAATAATACAGCTTTTAAGGGTATGATATAAAATACATAGAACAATGTATGAATTAATTTTAACAATATCATAAATTGTACTGAAAATTATTAGAGTTTAAAATTAATTATTTACGTTTAGATTTTGTAAAATAAGTGTTAAATATTGTTTTAAAACTTGATAACTGTGACGACAATAATTGTTTTTTATTAAATTTAGTTATACTTTTTTATTACTGTTATTGTTATTATTTCGATTATTCTATATTGTTTACATATATTTTAAACTTTTATTATTCCTTAATTTATATCATGTTATTTTAATAAAGTCTTTGTTAACTTAATGGTTTTTCAATATTTAAAGTTTATGTACTATTTTATATGTTAATGAAATGAGTGATTGTTGAATGATTTGTGGCACGAATGAAAACCAAAACTAACTTTTGAATGTTTTTACTTTATTTAAGATAGAAGAATATATTTATACAGGCAAGTACTAATATTCTATCGTTTAGAGAAATAAAAAAACAAAACTTATAATTTCGACGCTGATTTACAAACCATTGTTATTAGTTTTGAATTTGATCTTCATAATATTATAACACCATATCATTCAACCGATGAATATTTATCGGAAGTGTGATAGGGTTATGCGCGCACATTTGTGTTTAACTGAATACCGAATACCACATACTACATAGTATGGTGGACTACAACTGCCGAAGATTTAACAAACATAATATTAAGCGTCCGAAAAATATTTATGTGACGGTGACATTACTATTCCGGTGCACGAAGTTCCATCACCGGTGCGGTGAAGACATACGTGACGTGGTCAAGTTACACATGGATTAAG